TTCAGGATGCAGATTCATGGTTTTACTCCTTGCTGGAAAGCATTGACCATGATGAGGACCAAGAGACATAGATGTACACAATTAATCCACGTGATTGATTGAAGGACCCAGTGCCGCTGCGGGAACTTAACGACAAGGCAGCTGTCGCTTGGTGACCTTGTGCTGTATTATAAACATTAATGTTAAATGTATAATACATGCATATAAGGTGCAAAGACTGTGCAATCTGGAAGTCAGTCTTGGAATAGGGGGCTCCACAAAGATAGCAAAGCTGCGCACGCGCAATCTCTGCGCGACCTTTCGCATTCGGGACGACTACCCGGTGAAACTTGTCCAAATACGAAAATCCTATCTCCGTGCGGTCTGGAAAACGGAGTGAATTTGCCGACTTCGGGATTCGTGACTCGAATCCCTGTTCTGAAAAACGCGCCTCCGAAATGCTAATGTTGCTTTGGTATTGTGGCGACTCGTTTTCGAGACTGTGCGACGCGCCATGACGTTTCTATCCTTGCGGCATTCTTTTGCTAGTGGGTGACATAACCAGCTAAACAACTATCTTATCAGGGGCTGTTTTGATCTTTCCGTGACCTTGTCACTGAGTCGAGACGGACTTGATCTTCATGATCAGGTGGACGACGCCAGAACAAAGTCAGTGCAGTCGGGGCCTTTGTTCATACAACACGCAGGTCCAGTCAGATACTTGCAGCGCTGCTCGAGATGTAAAGTTGCGAGGCGAAACAGAGCTTCACAATCGAAATCACACGAAACTGCTGGCTCAAGAAACCGTCAAATGGAGGATGCCCGGGGTCTTCTGAGCAAGCCTCGGATCCCATGCTCAAAAGCCCCGACACTTTGTTGAGCAAGCAGATTAAAGAAAATAGCACACCAGTTCCAAGTGCTGTTTGGTGTTTTTGGGCCAACTCACCGATGCTCACGACGCTCATTGCTAATTCTAGGACAAAACACTGGTTCCTGACTTAGAACACACACCCGAAGCCAAACACAAACCAAACCAAGTTTGGTGCAGTCCAAACCTACCAAGAACTAGAAGGACCAACAGAACAGCACCGTGAAGAGAGGAGAGGTACATCTCTAAGCCAGACAATTCTTGACCGTTGTTGGATTTTTCATTTGTGCACTTGGCCTCGTTTTCTTTTGAAGCCGAGGTTTTACATGGAGCTGCTGCGTGACTTTGATGTCAGCTCGGCGACTCTGTGCTGGACATGTAGACCTAAATGGCAGTGGCTCAAAAAACCAGTACCCAAAATGGAACCCTGGTACGTAGAAACATGGACCAAGACCTGCATAACCCCTCGAGCCACACCCAAATGGCATTTCTGCCTTCCTCCCAGGCCCCGACATACCAGAGCTTCGCAAGCGCCGAAGCCTCTACCCATGCTCGAACATGGACATGCATCTTCAACACATGGTGCAACTAGGCATGGCTGTGCACTTTCAGCGCAAGCCGCTTGGCGAAATGAGTGGAGCAAGGGAAAACAGCAGCTGATTGCAATCAGGCTTATTCTGTATCACGAACGAGTGCAGAGATGGACAAACGACCTCATTGTGTAGCTGGCATGTGTTTCAAAGTGGGTTTTCACCGTTTGAACAATCTGACAGCCACGAATCGACGCAAGCACGGTGTGCAGTGAACCCGCGCTAGGCAAAAGAGAAAGATGGCTTTGGCAAGCTCCTGGCACAGCGAGAGCTGCCCTTTGATCCAGCCTGAATCCTGGCTGGTTGACAAAGCCCCCGTCCAGACCTGTCTCTTGACGCTTCGGCTTCACTTAGGATCTCTTCCGCAAGAAGGGCTGGGTCCCAAGTTTGCTGGATTTCTTGACATGCAATCTTTCTGGATGCTGCCTGGATTCTCTCCTTGTCCATCAAGCACCTTGGACGTAACGGCATCCCTAAACTCCAGTCGCAGATTGGATCTCGCTGCTCCTGGGCTTGGGTCAGTGGGTTGGTCAGCTTGGACGCGAGCAGTGTGACATTTGATCTCGTAGCCATGTTGACAGGATGCATTCGAGCTTGCAGTTCCATGTCTGGGCTTGCCGCCTCATGGTTTACGTGTTCATCCGCCGCGAGGCACATGCTAGGTTTGTTGAAATTGGCTGCTGCAGGGACATGCTTTCCACAGAAGTACATCGAGCGTGTCGCTGCAACTTTCAATATTATGGGGACCCCGCGGATTTGGTTTGGCTACCACTGCAGGAAATCAAGTTAACGTATCAAGATGTCAACGTTATCGCGTCAACACAGTACACCGTGAAGACGCCAAGTTGTCGAGCATCCAGCTTAAGCTGTTGCTCTGAGGCTGTGAGGTCTGTCGCAACTGAGGTGAAGATGCAATCCGGCAAATGGTGAGCGACTTCAACGGCAAATTACAGGCAGGCTGCCGACGGACTTGCTGGCATGGTCTCGACTGACAGCGAATGGTTTTTGCTATTTTTTACTTCAGCGCCTCCGGCTCACAGCCTGCGTCGCATGCCGGACGGACTAACAGCCTGTTTTAGTTTTGCCTTGAAACTTACTGGGGGCAATGCTCATGCGCGTTGCCCGTTCGAACTATCCCGTTTGCAGTTTTGGCATGGTGAAACAAATGCCAGATTTTGTAATGCCAGATTTTGTGTTGCGTTTTTTGACTGCCTGGGCGCCGAGTGCTGTGCGCAAGCCTTGCCCGTGCCTTCGCTTGCCTCGTGCCAGTGTGGGGCCCGACATGTCCAGAGAGGGCCCCGAGCAAGACAAGACCGATGGATGTCGGAAGCTGGCGTTGGTGTTCGGGCAAGGGGCTGCCTGCAAGCGGTACCAGCACCGTGAATTCCGACCGCACATTTGCCCTGGGCGATGTGGCTCCATGCCAGAAACTGACGGCCCTTCGGCGCGTAAGTGACTTTGCTTGACGCTTATAATAAAGTTGTGACTTGCTTGGTGGCAGCTTAGCGCTTTGGTAGTGCGCGCATTATATAGATGCAAACACCTGGACCTGTAGCCGTTGGCCTGAGCCACCGGGCTATCGCATCGGCAGATGATGGTTGAACCAGTACCCAGAAGATGCGCGGACTGCAGCATGCCAGGCGTGGGTTGTGCCAGAGGCCTCATTGTTGGCTGTGCTGACTGGGACGATGCAGCCCAGCACGCGGCCCGTTCGCTTCAGCAGCTAGGCGGCTGGCGTTCTGCAAGTTGCGGGGCTACAATTCTATGCCCAGCACACCGCGCCACAATTCCATGGCGTTTGTTACTTGTGGTCACTGGTGGTGTTGGCAGCATAAGTTTGCAGGGTGTGAATGTCGGTCCGTGAGGGGCCTCTCGGTTTTGCATGGGGTGTGTTTGTCGGTGTGCTGTGATATTGGAATTGCCGCGAATGTGGGCAGCGCGTCCAGGGTAAAGTCTATCCATTTGCCGATTTTCCACTACGCGTGATCAGACTTTGGTAGACCAGTGAAGCTTTCGAGATGAGTCGGAGTTGAAGCCAGAAGTGGTATGCGACATGCTCCAAGCACGTTGTTAGGTGGGATTGCAAAAGCGCAGATAGCTGTTGGTGCGGGAGGTCGCCCATTTTGCAAAAAATGTATTTATTACAATGGCGGGTGGGCGCAGTCCAGCTGCACTGTGTGTATCCAGCGAGGGCAACCCTACTCGTAGGGTATACGGCTGACGTGTTTTGTTGGCGCCAAACTCCTCCTCAGCATCCTCTGCATCATCTGGATACGGGCCAAAACATCACCGACATCCCCAGCCATGTGACAGGCTTTGCAGCACCCAGCGTTCCTGCACCAGCAGCGCCCGAGCGAACGGGGTTCTCGCGACGGCGGCGCGGAAAACATGGCAAATACCGTGTTGAGTTAGGGCTGAGTGGGGATGTCGGCCGCGCGCGCTGCAAGAGCTGGGTTGGTGGGTGGCTGGGTGGGTTGGTCGGTCGGTCTGCCTGTCTGTCTCTGTTTGTCTGTCCGGCTGTCTGTCGGTCGGTCGGTCTGTCTGTCTGTCTGTCTGTCTGTCTGTCCGTCCGTCCGTCCGTCTGTCTTTGTTTTTGAGCTGCGCTCAGCTTGGGATAGATAATGCAAATAAGCTGCTTGGCAATGGGGTTGATTTTGCTTTCAGCAGATAGGCGCACTGTGCATGGAACAGCATGCTACCTGTGCTGTTTTCCCTTGAAGGCATTCGCTGTTCGGGGGAAGAATCCTGTGCACGGCAAGCCACTGGCTTAGATTGTCAGCTGGCATCAGCCAAATCCACTGACAATTCTTAAGCTGAGGGCAGCGCAAATGCCAGTCTTTGTCCAGGACACTTGCAGCTTTCTTTTGTCGTTCCCTGCATCCTGCAGCTACGCTGATTGGCAGGACCCTTCAAGTCATCTCAGCGCAGATTTGCACACCATGTTGAGACCGGGCCTTAGAGACAAAGGCGTCCAGGTAGCAATGACGTGCTTGGAGGCGATGCCATCTCAATTTCTGAAGGGCATGCTACGGGTCACTGGTTCAGGTGCAAGAGAGCTGGAGAATGAGCGTGAAATTGCTCAATACTTCAAGGCTGCTGTGGCAGCCGCAGAAGAGGCCATGAAGCCTGTGGATTGAGTTCACCGACAGAGTGCATATGCTTAAGCATGTTTTCTCGAGGCTGTGGATCGAGAGCTCAAAGTCACAGGAAACAAGCTCCTGGGAAAGGCTCAAATGAAGGCTTGAGGGAATGCGCATGCTTTCGCGTGCAACCGTTACTGGTTTATGTCATAGTGCCACATATTAGATTGCTAGTTACATCACTTGCGGCTGTCTGGGAGCACATTCTCCCTCCAACATGTGGTGACATGCGCTGCTTGTAGGCTGGTATTCGGCCTTTCGAGATACTTGATCTCTACTGCTTCAAACCTCCAACATTTTAGATTTGGGGGGTTCAAGATTCCGCAACAACACTCTGTGCAACAGCACCTGCAGCAGCACCTGCAGCAGCACCTGCAACGGCAACAGCACCCCGCACACTTACAACACACAGTAAATCTCAAC